GATAATGAGCTTTTTATAGGCATTGAGTGTGTTTTGTACTATTTGATGCCTTTAGGTGTTGTTTTGTGGTTTTCAAGGAGATAATGCACTCAAGACGAAAAATGGATCATCAAGGGATCCAATGGATCAGAAGGAGGTAGAAGATAAGAGCTCATCGGCTGAAACGCAAATGGATTCTGACACAGAAAGCTCAAGTTGTGGACCAAATGATAGTATTTTGAAGAGCATAAGGGTCAAACAAAGTCCGAACAAGCTAAAATTTCAAGTGTTGGTCCATGAGTCAAAGAGGAAGTTTCCCACTAAAAATGGGTCAATTTGGAGAAGTGATGATACATGAAAGTTTCTATTCTAAACCCTCGTATTGTGACCAAAAGAGCTTACATCTCCCATAATTATTGTCATAATACATTGAATAATTGATATGATTGCTTCAAGTGTGTTATAGCAATCCTTGGATTGCTTTTATATGATTGACGTGCTTTTGATAGTGGTTTTTGCATTTTTATGTCAAAGCATACTATTGGTCCACTTAGTAGCCAAGGAATCTCATCATGGTATGAAAGAGGACGAGAATACGAGCATATAATATCAAATGGGGCCTGATTCGGAGTTTGGATGAGGGAGAAAAGGCTAAGAAAAATTAGCAGTTTGAAGAAGACAAGGCCAAAATGACGACCTGACTGAGAATTTTCACTGTTGGCTACCGAGACGGGCGTTGTTTTGAGAGCATCTTCTACTTCCTCAGAAAGTTACATAGGAGCTTCCCGATTTGCTGGCCACATGCTTGGAGGCCTCTGATTGGTTGAACAACGTGGAAGGATGACTTCCTCCCCCCCCCCCCCCCCCCCCCAAAAAAAACCATAATCATGTGCCTATAAATATGTCCTAGGAAGCTCCAAATCAAGGAGACTTTCAAGAGAGGTTGCTCTGTCCCTAAGGCACCTCGAGACCTCGCGAATTGACCAGAAGCATCCAAGGAGCGCAACATAGCCAAAAAGGCACCATGGCCATCATTTTTGGGGTCTGGCCACCATTTTGAGCGTCTTTTCTCCGACCGCTCTCTTTTCACTCGCTGTAAACCCCTTGTTTGTACGATTAGCTAGTTTGGTTGTTTGTATGGGTTGACAAACCCTAGAGGGCGTTTGATTATGTAAAAATCTTGATCTTGGTATGCATGATGATTTGGTTTATGTCTTTGTGTGCCTGTTTCCATGTATGTGATCTTTTTTCGATTTGAATGGGAGCTTAAGATGACCTTGCACTCCTTCGAGTTGCAAGGATCGAAATCCAAGTCGTGTAGAATGGGACTAGAAATAGCAGTCCTACTTGATCGATTGTCCTTGTTGTCTATCAGACCTCGAGCAAGAGCCTTAGGACAAGGTAGGATTAAACTACGTATTGGACCAAGTAGCCCATGTGTTACCAGAATCAAAAGTTGATTCTTGATTACGAATATGAGTGTTTATCCGAATTCATCTTGCCACGTTATGGTGTCGAGAGCCTACGCATGGGTGATGTGACAGGTATGAAGCTTATGCATACCTGCACCTAGAATACCATACACGTCTAGAAGCGACCTTATTGCATACCGTAAAACATGCAATCTGAATGTCTACTCTCACACGTACCTCGCTGGAACCCACGATCGATATCGTGAGAAGGCAAGCGCTCTTGCTTGATCAGCCTTGCTGAGTGCCAAAGTATGAGGCACAACCCCCTTCTGCCTATAAAGTAACACGAAAAAGGGTAATGTGGCATGACACGATCTTCTTAATACGAAAATGTCCAAAAAAAACTTACGTGGGCAGAATGAAATTACTTCCCAATCAAGCTATATAGGCTTCACCCCAATATTCGTAAAAGAAGACTTGTGGGAGAAAAATAGAACTTCATCTTGTGAGAAGAGAAGGAAATATGTTTGAGCATCAATGCCAAGATCGAAGGTTTCTAAGGGCGAGCGTTGACCTTGTAAGCTTCTTATGATCCACTACCTAAGATCATAAGTCGCGTGTTATCGTGAAGATCTAGTGCGGAGAGGGACGTTGAGCTTAGATTTGCTTAGGGACAATCACATTTCAAGTGTGGGGTTATTTGATGATACATGAAAGTCTATTCTCAACCCGACCCCATATTGTGACCAAAAGTGCTTACATTCCCCATCTTTATCGTCACAATGCATTGGATTACTGATGTGATTGCTTCAAGTGCTTCATAGCAACCCCAAGATTGCTTATATATAATTGATGCACTTTTTGGTAGCAGTTTGTGCATATTCAGAGCCGAGCACCTTAGTGGGCCACTTGGAAGCTGTAGGGGACATCGAGCCCAAGTTGTCGGAGCAAGAATTCGAAGACTGGACATTAAAGGTGGTGTTTTAACTAAAGGAAAGGGCGGCAATGATGCCATTTTAGTGGCCATGTGTTTGGTGGCTTCTGATTGGCCAAATGACGCAGTAAGGGCAGTTTTCTCTCTTTGTAAAGCCTAATGAAAAAAATATACAACCGTAGCTCTAGTCTCAAACAGCCAATCTGAATGCGCCGAACATGTTGTTATCGAATCAAGAGACTTCAAGATGATTTCCTAACAAAGTGGACAGCTTCAGCAAAATGGCACCATTTCTCGTCATCAAAACGATGCCCCAGGCACCATTTCTTCCAGGATTCCGGTCTTTAAGTGGTACACTAGTCTGCTATGATGTGCTCGACATTAATGATTACGACGAGCAGCACTAGTGTGGAGCCTAAGCTTGAATGGAAAATGATATAGGGATGGAGGGGGACCGACCAAGGTGAATCATTTCTTATGGTCGGTGACCTTTGAACAACTACTCAACAAATGCAAAAGAGAGCATCAAACTCTGACATGATCTACTACCTGCAAATATTGCTCCCAAGCTTCTGAAATAGTCATGCATGTGTTGTGGAATTGTAAATTTTCTCGATCAATATGGATGCACCTCAATGAGCATTTTGACTAGCAACACTTCTTCATATCACAACTACATTATCAGATTCTGCAAAATCTACGATACTAGTACATTTGCCAAGAGTTTAGTATATTACTCACTAGTACCTTTGGATGACCGGAATGGCCACTTTTTGGCATACAAGGTTGTGGACTTGTGGTATGTGGACCATTCATTTAGCGCATCCTGGGTGGATAAATATCACAAGGAATACCATGGATAGGTACAGGATCGTGCATACATCTAACCCAACAAATATAATGGAGGTTGAAATCTTATGGCGGTCTTCGCCTCCCTACTTTCAATTCGTCTGAGTTCTTTCTTCTTAATTGAGTCCACTCTGGAAATCTTATGGTGGGCTAATGGGAGATCATACAAGACATTGACTTGTAGCATTCATAATGAACTTAGAGATTTACTATATCACCTGAGCGGAATTGGTATGAGTTGCTGAAAGACTCTAGTTATCATGGGACTTGGGCCATCGTCGTGTTGGACTGGAAATAGATTCCAAATTTGTGATCCAATTGGGAAGTGTTTGGGAAGTGTTTGTTTCCCATCTGTGATTATGCATATTACTTATCGAGTCAAGGGAATTCTTCGCCCTTCAATTTCACTGGGTTCTAAGCGGATTATATATGACTATGAGAAGCTTTACAATTGTCTAGTCTTGAATGAAAACTGAGATACTCTTCAACTATTTATGTATATTTATTCATCAGGAATACGTTAACATTTGCTATATTGTCGTTGGTATATAAAAAGATGGGTTCTAGATCTTATTGTTTATTAAGCAGTAATACCATAAATAACCCAAACTTTAAGGTTATTCTCCAATAGGTCCATTTTGCTTTTCTTTTTTTTATTCCTTTACCTTTCATTTACAAGGGATCCTTTTTGTAGGGTCACTATTTTTTCAAGAGATCTTTTTTTTTTATGATTGTTGAAATCGACAGTTTTTTCATAACAAAGTGGACAGTTTTTTTCATATATTTTCGCGCTCGAGCTCGAATAGGAAGACAACAGTATCATTAACTGTTTTTAAAATTACTTTGTGAGCTTTCCACAATTCAAATAGAGGCCAACTAATCACCCGTATTCCGACGATGCATTTTCCATTTTCAAATTCTTATCTATTGACGATTTTATGTGAGTTTTTCGACTATTTAAATAAATATTTTTGTTTGCATATATTCCTATTTTAGAATCCGACGCCTCATTGGCCATCGAGTTCAATTTACGCCTCATTGACTCGATAATTTCAACGTGGTCTTACATGACACTGAATGCACTATTTTTTAACCATAATTTTTTGTGAATTTTCCATCTATTCAAGTAAATATGTCGTTTTTGCATAGAGTTTCATTTTAAAATTCGAGGCCTTACTTGCCATTGAGTCCAATTTACTCTCATGGCCCAAAAATATAGTGTTGTAATGAGATTTTGACTCAGCGGTTTCAACTTGATCTTTTAAGTCACTTACTACACTATTATTTTTAACTAATCTTAGGTTATATTATTTCAATTATTGACTTGAAACATTTTGAGTTTCTATTTTGTCTTTGACCTATTAATTTTTATTTTAAAAAACCACAAATCAATTAAACACCTCGCACGGACTTTCGACCTAATATAATATGAAGAAGTGGAATATAAAATCTCTCTTAAATAGTAAACCTCGTTTTTTTATATAGTGAAATGGATATTTTTGAGGATATATAACCAAATAAAACGATGCATTTGAAACTAAAATCTGTAATGGGTAAGTACTATATAAGCCGCAGCTAGCCAGCTACTTCAATTATACGGTCATGCACACTCTTTTTCCAGTACTCTTTTCCAATAGAACAAGAGTGACGGCGGAGCCAAACTCAAAGCGGCCAAAACAAAAGTAATCAAAATATTGAGTTGCGAAGTAGCCAGCGCAGCGGATAGCGTTTCATTTCAACCCCCTCTCTTCCATAACTTGGTTCAGTTTGTCATACAATCATGCAAAATTAGATATATAAAATAAGGAACGTTAAGTAGAAGTAACCATCACAAATACTGTTTAATGATATATGGTACTCACTGCTTCGCCTTTGATACTCGAACGATCCACAGCCTGCCCTAGTTATCCAAATACGAATAAATGCAGAAATAATAAACAGATAAGTACGACAAGCTCATAGTCTTCTCCGAAATGCTACTATGGTCCGATCTCGTAATTAATACTACTCGATCGATCGATCAATCGATGGACCGCCTGCCTGCGCGCCCTAGCTAGCTAGTTACTCTTCATCTGCAATTAGATGGTAGCCGATGAGGTCCATCTCCTCCCTGGCCAGCTCCCAGAAGCGTCCCATGGCCAGCCAATGTGTGAACACATGGTCGCGCACCTTCAACTGTATGAAGCCGTTGCCTTGTATGCGGCGGTAGAAGGTGATGGGACATGGATGCTGCCGATCGAAACCCAGGCGCTCGATCCCCAGCTCCCCCAGCCGGTCCAACACCAACTCCAGGAACTGCTGGTAGGAACGGTGGCGGAGCTCGTTTCTGTAGACGCAGCCGGCGTCCTCAGAGGGCAACGTGTCGCCATGGATCATCAACTCCTTGTTGTCTAATCGCGCATGGTCAATGTAGGCTAGATACTGGGTGGGAAGGCTGACGATGGGAATGATTTGGCCGCCTGGCGCTTGTGTTGTACCACCGTGTCCTTTCAGAGCCCGCTTCACATCTTCTTCACTGGAAGAGCAAGTTTTTGCTCTTTTTGCACCGGCTGCCTTCCCATTCTCGGCCTGGTCTACTGCCGCCCGTTTCAAATCTCCAGCAACCATCGGTCCCCCATTGACATTGAGAGCCTGAAAGGTCCATAAACAAAGGAAACCAAATCGACAACATATACACCGAAATATTCTTCATGCACGTACAACGACACAGATTTATAATTTTACCTATAAACCCTACTGTGCCTATTAGTGCGACACTTCGGTACAAAATGGTCACTTAAGCTAGCTAGATGGACAATTAAAATGGTAATGTTAATTGTAAGGATCAAAATCTGACCGAGGAACTTGACGAGGCGGCGGAGTTGTTTTCCATTGCAGCAGGCAGAGAGAGCTGACGAGCTATAGCGAGGATGAGTGAGTGACTTAGCTATCCGGCCGGCCGAGTTGTAATCGATTACCTGATGATGAAACGAATGATCAATCAAATATTCAATGGTTAAGCTATACTCTCAAATACAGAAACAAGGATGAAAGCACGTACATAATAAAAGATGTTCTTCTTCTTAAAAGAATTGAAGAAGAGAAATTAGGTAGCTAGGTAGCTAGGTACCTGGACTGTACGGAGGGCGGGCTAGCTAGCTGGTGTGCCGAGGTACCGATCGACCAGAGCTAAATCACCGATGAATGAGAGATAAGTTTGAAGCAAATTGAAGGAGGAAGAACGACATATATGTGAAATGAAAGCTAATTAAGACTCTCCAGGCAGCGAAAAATGAATGACTTATCAAAGTAGCTAGTGTTGGGAGTACGTACTACCCACAACACAAGGAGCATGATGCTGAAGTGAGAAGACCATGCATGCACACATACCGTGCTCCTTCCTTTTTAATACGGCGAAGGAGAAAGGAACGACGGACACTTTTATTATTATGAAAAGTTAGGGAAGGGAAATTTACGTGTGTTTTCTGCAATTAAACGAAGAAGGTGTATACCACAAATTTTAGAAAAGAGATCACCACAACCTCACTACACAACAAGTTTATAAACCAACTTCTTCACAGTCTCTAACAAGTCTTCAAACTCCTAGCTTTACTCAAATGTCCCTCAAACTGAACGAGTATGCTTCCAAAGATGGTATCTCGACACAGTTTCTATACTTAGCTATTTTCTGTCCTTCTTGTTTTCACGGGTTGCCTTGCCTTCAAAACTTCAATTGGAATGACTTTGGGTCACTTTCTACGATTGCATCAAACCACAGCTTTCATGAAGCAAATCACAAGTGTCATGAAACACATCACAAGTATGTTGACCACAAGTCTCATAAAACCATGGTAAAGGAAATCGTACCGGAAGTCATACCAGATTCGTCAATGGTAGGGTAATTTGTGGTACGACTGTGGTTCAACCGTTGTGTATCGGTATTTTTTGTAATTAAAAAATATATTTTTGTTAAAAAACCGTACCGGCAGATTCAGGATACCATTTCCGAGTATACCGGAAAATATCGGATAACAAACATGAATAAACTAAATAGGCATAGGTAATATAGCAATCAACAAACTGCAACATTACTGAATTAACTATATAATCGTTCAAATGCTTGTTTAGGATCCAGTACAAAACAACCAAACAACATTCTCAAACCACAAGTTCACAACTACCAAACTCAAACTAGCAAGCACTACAACGTTCACAAACAACGTTCCATATATTCAAACAACACCAAATGTAGAGAAGTCTACATTCTGCAAGTCATCCCCTTCATCTTCTTCATCACCAACTACAATACAAGTGAAAACAAGTAAGAATTATTATCAATTAGAATTCATATCATACATAATTGATTTATACAAATTAATGCTCTATCCACCTCATCAATATCCAATTCCTTTTCCCTAGAAGATGGATTTTCTTCCCCTTCTGACAACCAGTGAGTAGTAACAGTAGTCAGTAGAATCAATGCTTTCAAGGTAGAAGATAGATCATATGATTCTTTGTTGTTCTTGGTATAATACTCCCTAATCAAATTAGAAAACATAAAATAATTCAATTCAATAGTAAGCATAGAAAGTATGAATTCAACACTCAAGTTCTATAATTCAAATCATTACCTATTTTGCAATCGCAAGTTGTAATTCACAAACACCAAGTTACTAAGCACTTTATGCTGCAATCTGTTTCTTCTTTTGGTGTGCACACTTTCAAAGACACTCCAATTACGTTCACAACCAGAAGAAGAAGTAGTTTGGCTAATAATTCGAATAGCCAACTTCTGAATATTTGGAGCATCAATGCCACACCATTTCCACCACTTATATCTACATATAAAAGATACATGTTAGTTTCTTAAATATTGTATTAAATAGAAGAACTTCAATGCAAGTGATCTCAATTACCTGGTTGTTGTTTCTGTGTAGAATCTATTGCCATCTTCCTCCCAAAGTTTCCTGACCGTTCAGCATACAAATTCATCTCCGCCACCACCACATTATTATTGGGACATATAGACGAGTTCTCAAAAAGATTAAGATGTCCAAACGTAACCACCCTATCCTCTCTCCAATCATCAGCATACTTAATAGTCGGATTAAGATAGTGAACTGCCATAAACAAATCACGGCTCAAGTGCTTATCCCATCTCCTATTAACGATATCCATGTATGGCTTGTACATCTCCTCCTTATCTCCATAAACACTCATAATAGCATTCGACACTTTAGTCATCCCATCATACACATACCCCATTGCTGGTTTACTATCTGAATCCACAACTCGAAGCAACTTAACAATGAGAGCTGTCAACTTAACAATGAAGTCACAATCAGTCCAAAACTGTTGATCGAGTACAATTTTCTTCACATCCTTTCCATCCTTAGTACTTGAAAGATCACTTTCTCTAAAGAACTCACTAATCACCAGTTCCTCCAAATCATGCATGTGCTCAAAATTACTTTGCAAACTCAGAAATGTAGTAGCAAATCTAGTAGCAGCAGGCCTCACTATTTCTTTCCAATTCTCCTTTTTCTTCAACCAGAAATAAATTCGACCATGATTGTAAACAAATTTGGAGACCTTGGTAGCTCGATATGCAAGCTTCTTAACATGAGGCATAGATCCAATGTCACTCAAGATCAATTTAAGTGTATGAGCAACACAAGGAGTCCAATATATATGACCATAATGATCATGTATCACTGTCTTTGCTAATTTATAGTTGGATGCATTATCGGTCACCACATGAACAACATTCTCCGCTCCAACCCAATCAATGACCTCACAAAACAACTTAAACAAGTTCCTTCCACTCTTGACCAAACCAGAAGCATCAATGGACTTCACAAAGCATGTTCCAGCAAGAGAATAAACAAGAAAATTGATTAAGGATCCACGCCTATTATCCGTCCAACCATCCCCCATAACAGTGCATCCAGATTCCTTCCAATGAGACCTCAAATTCTCTATCAATAGATGGCATTCTTTCACAATGCTATAAAACAAAGTAAACCTCAAACCATAATATGTAGGACCGCAATAACCAGGACTAAGAGTCATAGAAACATCCAATGCTATTTTAAATTGTGGAGATTTAATTGCTTCTAAAGGAACACATGCATCATAGAACCATCTATCCCATGCTCGATCCACATACAATACAACTTCTTTAGTTGATAAGGCACTCTTTATTCCCGGTTGACTACTGGAAGATGGTCGTGGATCAAAGAAAGTGTCAACCGAACACGTAGACACATTAAGAGCAACTCTTTTAGCACTATTACCATCATCTTGTGCACTACAAGAACTTGTATCACGAGGTTCTTTAAATAAATCTTTGAAAACTTTATATTTCTTCTTACTAGTTTCATAATTAGTCAAAAGCGTCTGCATGTTTTGGAACACCTCAGAAGGAACCATTGAGCATATTGCATTATTCCCACTAACACCACCTAGATGTTTTCTCATTCTAGTGATTCATCCACCTCTAAATTCTTTTTGGCAATAGAGACAAGTGAGTACCTCAACTTTTCCATCTTGATGAAGGGAACAATGAGCCCAAGTTGGATCACTTTGACTTCGTACACACTTTGCGACAATCTTTGGATTACTAGGGGTTGCTCCCTAATCAACTGATCGAGTTTCTTCTCCACTAGCCATTGCTGCCAAAACATCCAAAATTCTCATTAGAATAAAGGGCAGAACATTGGAAACAAAAAAAAAACTCAGCATTATACTTAAAATCAGTAAAAACATCCAAATTCCAAAAAGGCAAAAACTCAGCGTTCTTGAGCAGTCTCTCAGACGTTCTTGAGCAACCTATTTTTTTCCAAAAACTTGGTGTTCTAATTTTTCCTTACCTATGCATGCGTTCTTAAGCAGTCACCAGTCTCCCAGATGGTGCGTTCTTGAGCAAGGGAGGGAGACTCGAGAGTGCCACGTTCTTGAGCAGGGAAGGGAGAGGCGCGCCGGCTAAGGAGGAGCGGAGAGGAGCAACGGAGCGGTGGAGCACGCGGAGTAGGGATCGCTGGTCGCCAGTCGGCGGTCGCAGGTGGGCGGTCGTTGGTAGCTGGAGCGGAGCAAAGCAGGGATCACCGGTCGCCTCGTCGGTCGCTGGTCACAGGGCGATTCCTGGTCGCCAGCAGCCAAAGGAGAAGAGGAGGAGCGGCGGGGCGGGGCGGGGCGGGGCAGGGCTAGGGAAGAAAGAAACAATACTCCAGTTTTTTCGTTTGGCCGATTTGCCTTAGAGATTAGGGTTTTGTGTTTTAGGCCTTCTATCGATTTTTTTTTGTGTGCCAAAAACGACGACGTATCCTTCCCATAATCCTACCGTCGGTTAGACCAAAACCGGGGGGTATTTCCTATTGTGCCAGTTAAACCGGGAAAACTGGCCGGCACGGTATTCTGGTCGCCAGCAACCTACCGTATCGTCCTTGATCCGGTTTCCGGTTTTACCAGTTGAATATGCCGGTACTATCCGGTTTCCTTGTTCATGCATAAAACACACCACAAATTTATTAAAACAAACCACATGTATACTACAAGTTTCATAAAACATACCACAGGTCCTAAAAAGTATACCACAAGTCTCATAAACCACCACAATTTATCTAAAGCAAACCATAAAACTTATAAACCACATCGCAAGTTTTTTTAATTAGAAACAACCGATAATAAAATGAGCAGTGAAATTAATTCATTAAAATTCCACAAAAAGGGTAGCTTTTCACTCATAAGGCAATTACTTCTCTCACTACCGTTTCTCTTTCTACTTTTCCTCTCAACCCTTCTTGCGAGGTATGTCAAATCCTAAATGGATTCTACTTCATCTGCAAACTGAAAACAATTTGTGCACCAAACTCTGAATTCAACTTTCAAGATTTCTCATCAAAGGGAGCAACATCAGACCAGATTAAATGCTAGCAAAAGAGAAAAATCCCCTGCAAGCCAGCTAACATATCTCAAAACTTCAAAGAGATTCGGCATCCTGAAGGGAAGACCTCTGGAGCCCCAAAACGTCGTAACTCATAAGATGAAAAGTCAATGCATTCATGGGAAGACAAGACGCAAACCTAACTCCTCAATTCAACTTTCATGAGCTTCTTCTTCAATTGGAAGGAAAGATGGAT